TTTCATTTTGTTTCAGTTAGACACGCGTCACATTGTAATTGGACATTATGGCATTAGGTGGCTGGTGACATGCGTATAACATGTCGCCGTCTTTCTCATAAGGAGTAACAGATTTTTCAGTGAAAATAATACAGAGAGAATTCCCTAATTTTGACCTCAAAATGGCGAGATATTTTTTGCTCTTCAGATGGTAATGGCGCTGTTGATGATGATGATGATGATATGTTGTTTTGTATAGGGGACGATGAGGTGTGCAATCGGTTCAAAATTGCATCCCTCTCTAGGCCGTTCAAATCGATGCTTTACTGTAACTTTATGGATTCGAGGAAGGAGAGAATATATTTCACCAAGAATGGCGATTTCTTCAGCAGGACCAAAAGCGTGTACTCTTTCAACCCGAACGCTGTCTTCGAGCTTCTGGTGCTGGCCAATTTGGCAGCAATGTAGGTAGGCGGATTGCTTGATGCAGCTGTATGATAGGTGGTCTTCTGTGGATGATGTTGGCTCTTTAGCTGTTGTTCATCATATGTTGTCGAATGTTGACTGGTATGGTATGGGCCTTGCAGGCTTTGAGTAACTTGGCGCGTATCTACTTTGAAGTTGGACCATGCGGGCGGATTGCGTTCGTTGAACATCAAGCACACGAGGAAATAAAAATATACGTTATCACAGGAGCTTCCTAAAATCACGCTGGATATATACTATTTATTAGGCGATTGTTCTTATCAGGAAACTAGTTAGATTTGAAATTCAAACATATTATCTCTCTCTCTCAAAATACAATAAAAAACCCCGACATTGAGATATACAGTATGTTCACGATTCACAACATGAAGTTTCTGCCTGCTACAAGCACTCGAACATATACGTAATATATACGAGCATCGAACATATACGTAATATATACGAGCAGGCTGATTCATCAGAGTTTTTCGGAACATATACATAATATATACGAGCAGACTGATTCATATACCTAATATATACAGAACATATACTGAAAATAACACCAGACCCAGGCGTAGGCATCGGATGTTGGTCGAAAATCGCTGGTCGCTGAGCTATTCTGCAAGAAGCCGGACAAGGCTGGTGGTCGTGCTCAGCGGAGGATGAGGCTCGTCGGGGAGGGTCAGGCGTACAGTTGTCGGGCGCGCGTGAGTTCGAACTCGCCGAGATTGGATGCTCTTGCGACGGGTGGCTCGCCGGAGATGAAGGGAGAATTATTTTCTCGAAAGGATAATGGCGAGGAGAGAGAAAGGAGTTACCAAAAATATGGGAACGTTTGACTTTAGGAGAGAGAAAGGGGTTACTATAAATTATTTATTAACTATTTCTCGTAATATTGCAAATAAAAGATGGGATTTTGTAAGCATGTAATATAAATGAGATTAACTCGTGGTAGGTGTAATTTTCTCAAAATAGGGATGAACAAAGTTATGTTAGGCCCACTACTTAGTGGGCTTGACCAAGGCAAAATCCCAGAACTCGGCCCAGGCTATAATCCTGCTGTGATTAGAATTAATAGAGAAAATTACTCCCGAATTGTCCGAAACCTTTGCCCAGAAAACTTAGGATACATCCTTCACCCAAATATATTTCGTGCAGGAGACGAAAAATTGGTACGCAATCTGAGATGGAAAAGGAAGTCGGAAAGTTGCACAAAGGTTCCCACTTGTGGGTGCTGAGGGACTACTCCCGTCACAAAGCACGGCTGGACGCCGGCCAGGCCGTCAAAAGCGGTGAATTCACGGCGGGAGGCCACCGGTGGGAGATCGTTTTCTACCCCAACGGCTCCTACCCAGAAACCTGGTGGCAAGGCTACGCGTCCTTATTCTTGTCCCTGAAGAGCTGCGGCCGCGTCCAGTTTTTGCACGGAACTTACTTGTTGGATGCAGACGGCGGCCATCATCGGGGTATCAGCTTGTTCAAGCCCGGCGCGGGGATCGGGTGCCTCAGGCCCGGCGAGTTGGCTGGTCGAACCCAATTCATCAAACGGTCCGTCCTCGAATCCCCTGAAAATGGTTACCTGAAGAAGGATTGCCTGACGATACGGTGCACGATTGGGGTCCTCGATTGCCCCTTTCCAATAGATCACCCCTTTGTCAGGATCCCAATCCCCAACAAGGGTATGCTTTTTTCATTTTTATTTTTAATTTCAAGTTAGGGTTTACAGTATCAACACCAATTGTAAGTTAGGATTTAACTAATTAATTAATTGCCT